TTTTTTAGCAGAGACGTGGTTTCACCATGTTGGCCAGTCTGGTCTCAAACTCCTGACATCAGGTGATCCGCCTGCCTCTGCCTCCCAAAGTGCTGGGATTACAGGTGTGAGCCACCACTCTCGGCCTGAATATTTTATTTAAAATAAAATGAATATGTTTAAAAGCTTGAAGGGAGAAATGAACAGGAAATTAGTGTAAGTAGATCAGAGAGTTTTTATTTAGTAATAATACAAGATGCTGTCTGGAAAATGCAATAGAGTCAGCGAGAGAAGGTTTGGACTTGCAAAATAAAACGTGGGTTCAGTGCTCACTGTGATAATACTGCATGAAGTGCCCCCAAATCCTGTAGTGGCTTAGCACAACCAGTTTGTGGTCCTGTGGATGTCCATGGCAGCTCTGCCCCAGACTGGTACAAACCAGGGCAGTTTATCCTGGGAAAGGTAGTTGTTAACCACTCACCAACACACCTCCGGCTGCAGGTAAGGTTCAACTATATTCCAAGAAGGCCACACTGTAGGGGCTAAGGAGCCACCACTTCAGGCAAGCTGTCCTCATAGCAGAGCGTCAAAGCTCAAGGGATTCCGGCAGAAACACGTGCTGCCCCTCACAGCTTCTGCTCAGCCTGGCATACACTGCCATCTACACACACCTTTGTTGGTTAAAGCAAGTCCCATGGCCAAGCTCAAAGTCAATGAAGCAGAGAATTATATTCCACCTCCAGGGAAGCCATTCTGAGAGGGGAAGTAAATAATTGTGAATAAATAATCCAGCCTTGCTCAGCATGATAACAAGGAACTACTACCCGTTCTTCAGTTGGGTCAGGTCCAGCAGTAATATTCAGATGAATGCACTAGTTGGACTGTACCAGTTGTTCAAATGCTAAAGAACCTCTGTGTCAGCTGGGAGTCAGTCACTGCTCCAAGCCCCTCAAGGACTCCCTCCCCCATTATCCCTATCCCTGCAGAAGCCCTAGGCAGGCTCAGTGGAATAATAATCTGCATGTTTTATGGGAGGCAGTCTAGTATAGTGCAGAACTAAGAGTACAGGCTCTACCTTGATTCATATCCTGGCTCCTTGCGTAATAGCTATGTGACACTGAGCATATTATTTAAACCCTTTATCTCTTCCTATTTCTCTTCTGTAAAGGGGAAATAATGGTATGTACATCACAGGGCTGTGAGAATTAAATTAGTTAACATATGTAAAATGCTGAGCACAGCGTCCAGCTCATGATAAACTCATACCATATTTACTATTAATAATAATAGTATGAGCAACAAATTAGTACTTGTTAGATGGATGCATGCATGCACACAAAGCAGTCATACACATAAGGCAAGGATATGAACAAAAACCATACCAAGCTACTCGAATGGCTGCCTATGCAGGAAATGGTGATCAAAGGGAATACATACATTAAAACACTGATCACTGAGTTCCATTCCCAGAGATTCAGATTTTGTTTTGGTCAGGAATAGGTGTTTTCTGGCATGTGGACTGGAAATCTCTATTCTTCCAAAAGCAGCCCAGGACACTTGGATGCACAAATGGGTTTGGGACACGCCGAGTAGTAAAAGGAGCAGGTTTTTTCTGGATCCAACACACTTTGCTCCACATTCCAGCCCTGACCCTCATTATAGTTTCTTGAGCAAGTTATTTAATCCTCTGAACCTCTGTTTCCTCATTGGTAAAAAAAAAAAAAAAAAAAAAAAGAGAGAGAGACTACTAATATCTTAGTTGGAAATTTTCCATTTACAACCCTGAGAATCAAATCTCAAACTCACTTGAACAACAACAATAAAGGAAATTTATTGGTGCCCAAAAGCAAACCACAGAAAAGTGGCTGTGGTGCTAGCCCACGGGCATTTGGCCTCAGCCACTCTGGCTTTCCAGGAGAGTATTTGTGTCTGATTGTCTTTTTCTCTCCACATCGTCCCTGCCTCCACTGTGACCCATCCCTACCTGTTCCCGTTTGGTTTTATCCTCTCCTACAAAGGACAGGCTACGTCGATGTGGCAGAGATCATAAGCATAAAGGCCCAAGATTCTGATTCTTCCAGATCTATAACCTAGTGTGCAAGATGGGGTTATCCCTGACCTCTTCAGCGGAAATATCCAGGGAAGGGCCCTCATTGGCTGGGCTTTGCTCCTCATGGTTGGGACCAGGGGTGCCCTGGAACCAGATGCATGTGGTAGGAATGCACTTAGAGATGGAGGATGGAAAGAATGCTGAGCAGTCCAAGATTATAACTACCACAACTTCTGCATTCAGATGTAAAAACAAGTGTGGCACACACCTGCAGATCACAGACACTCAAATATTGGTCCCCTTACTTTTCCTCTCTTCCTGATTTGATTGCAGGAAAGGCTTTTTAACTACCATGATCTCCAATACAATTCTTATTTCCTCCTCCTGGATCTGTGGAACAAAGACACACAATTACTGCTGCATGGATTTCCTATACTTGCTCATTCCCTCATGCAACTGAGGAACAGAACAAGCCACTGAATTTAGTGATCTGAAGATTTAATTTCCTGGCTTAATTTAGCTATACTTACTAAACCATTTTTTAGAACTATAAATATAGTAGTAGAATCAAAGAAATCCTTGGGAATTTTTTACTCATTAGTTTTAAGAAATCTTTCAGAGTTAATGTTTTATTGTGTTATATCTCGTTGATTTAAGAGAAAGAACCTTTAAGACCTGGGTATAACTCAGTTTATCCTAGGCAAGCTGTTGGCTTCTTAGAATCTTATATTTCTCATTGATTGAAAAAAAAAAAAAAAAAAGGATGCTAGTAGCCTCTGTACTGCCCACCTTATAGGGCTGTTGTGAGGACAAGTATCAAGTTAGGTATGTAAAAGCACTTTGTAAAACGAAAAGGCATAAAATGAGAATTAACAGAAGACTTTTCTCCTTTTAAATAAGCTCTTTAAACTAAACATAGAACTACAATCTGACCCAGCAATCCCATAACTAGATATACACCCAAAGGAAAAGAAATTGTTCTACCAAAAAGACACACTCACATCTTCACGGCAGTCATGTTCACAATAGCAAAGGCATGCAATCAACCTCCATCAATGACGGACTGGATTTTTAAAATGCAGTACATATACACCATGGAACACTATGCAGCCATCAAAAGAATGAAATCATGTTTTTTGCATCAACATGGATGCAGCTGCAAGCCATTATTCTAAGCAGATTAATGCAGAAATAGAAAACCAAAAATCATATGTCCTCCCTTGGGTAGGAGCTAAATCTTAGATACTCATGAGCATAAGAGACACTGGGAAGTCCAAAAGGAGGGAGGCAGGGAGGGGGCAGGCTGAAAAACTCCCTATTGAGTACTGTGTTCACCATTTGGACAGCATGATCGTGCAGTATACCCTTATAACAAATCTGCAGTAACTCTAAAAGAAAAAATGAAATTAAATAAAATAAAAATAAACAAGCTCTTTGAAAAGCAAAGAGGAAAAGTTTCCAAGTTGGTTTATGTTCTTATATACTGTGTTATTCCTTCAAATGTCTTTGAATGAAATGTCCATGTGGCATAATTTAAGCTTTCTGTCTAAACAGAGCCAGAATCTTTTGAGCCCGTGAAAATTCCAACCCAGTCCTTGCTGCAGGACGTTGCAGGACAAGCGAGAAAAGAAAGAGTGAAGTTGCCTCGTTACTTGCTGAGTTCCAAGCCTAAGTCTCGACCTCTCACAAAGGTAAAATGGACACGGAACAAATTCCCCGGAGCCAATCAGCCTTTGATATAATTCTTTATTTTTTTCAATCCTGCTCCTTCTGTAGATTTTATGTAATTCTGACTTATTGAAGCCATTCGTTTCCAGCCACTGTGTACTGCTATTGACCATCTCCACAACTCACCATGAAGGTCTTTAAACTTACATCTCACACATTGTAAACTGAGGCGGTGCTTTGCTGGAGCTGATTCATACAGGCTCGTGAAAGAAATTTTATGAGCCACTTATCAAACCACTGATAGCTTGAAATCAGCCATGCTGGGAGTACTTGCACCACAAAATTAGTAAACACTAGAAATCAGAATTGTTTTCAGAGAGCCAGTTTACCAGCACACTACAACATGCTAAAGGAATCATTGGCCACCATTGCCACGACTCTTAGGATAAAATCCAAATGACTCAGTATGAGGACAAGGCACGGCCCCATTTGCTTCTTCACCCTCACCCTGAGTCAAACTCACTATAATTCAGTCATTCTGGATTTCTCTTCATTCTTTAAAAATACCAAGCCCCTTCCTTGCTTAGAGCCTCTAAAATTAAGATTCTGCCCAGTTTTCTTGGGAAATCTTCTGGAGCCCATCAGTTTTGATAATTATCTTTTTTTTTTTTTACCTTCATAGCACACTGTGTTCATCTCCATCACAGAATTTATTGTAACATATACGTAGCTGACATAATTAGAGTACATCTCAAACTTTAATGTGCATGTGAATTACCCTGGAAACTTGTTAAAATACAGATTCTGACTCACTAAGTCTGGTGTAGGGCATGAGATTCTGCAGTTCCAACAAACATAGGAACAAATTCCCCAAAGCCAATCAGCCCTAATGTCAGCACTGCTGACCTGAGGAATAATAAGGGCAAGAGCAATGGTTCTCAAAGTGTGGTTGCCGGACCAGCAAAATTGCCAACCCTGAGAACTTGTTATAAATGCAGATTCTTGGGCCCTACCCCCGACCAACAGAATGAAAAACTCTGGGGGTAAAGTCAGTAATCTGGGTCTTAATGATTTCTCCAGGAGATTCTGATGGATGCTCATGGTTAATGACCACTGGCACAGATGAAAGGGCACAGACTCTAGAAACCGGCAGACCTGAGTCTGAATCTTTGCTCTGCCACTTACCACTTGAACAATTACCTTTCAGTTCTCTAAACTTGACTTCCTTATCCTTAAAACAAAGCCTAAAATCCTTCCTCACAGGGCTGTCGTAAGGATTACATGAGACTGTCATCGTTCATTTCCTCCAGCAACCAAGTAGTTATTTTCCTCTGGTGACAGGGACTTTTTTTTTTTTTTTAAATCTTGGGAACTCCAGCTAGAACCATTTTATTAATTTTTCCTTAATGCAAAGGTGCAAGATTCTGTCGCAGGAAAAGTGAACACATCCTCTTTTGCATCTGCTGCTATTAACAATGCAAAGTCATCCCCTTTTGGGTTCCATCTTCTCCCATCATCCGTGAAGTTCGGAGTGCTTAAGGAAGGACATACCTATGCCACAGTTGTAAAGCTCAAGAATGTTGGAGTGGACTTCTGCAGGTGAGGCCAAGGGACCCAAGGTCTGCTCAGGTTACCTTTCCCTACACTGACACTTGTCTTTGGTCAGCTACATCAATAAATGTTTATTGAACTGAACTGGAATCTCCTTGAATCTTCACATTATTCATTCAGTCATTTGCACATTAATACATTCATGCATTCATTCATTAACAAATCAGGGTTTATCAAGTCCCAATTACATGGTAGATATTTCCTTGCCCTCCCATTAATCATTATCCATACTTCAGTAAAAGCAACTCACATCCTGATGTCCACTAGCTAAAAAAGGGGAGGTTGTACAAGTGTCACAACAACTAATGCACAATATTCGAAAGTCTTTTTCTCAAATCCACTAACTACAATAATACCAGCTGATGTTAGTTTGCACTTTATGATCTGAAAAGCACTTTTAGTTACATTGTTTCTGCATAATGGAGGCAAAGACTTTAGAGACTACTGTAAAAGGAGAAACTGTGTAACTTGTTTTAACTTCCTGTAGGCTGGCAGAGGCCAGACCAGATCTTTTGAGTCCCACATACTTTGCTTTACTAATGCTTTGTTTTTTGTGAAATTTCAGACCTTTCCACTGGATCAATAAACCATATACCTCTATCAAACGGTCCCCAATTACAAAATGTCCACTATTCTATTTTGAATTAAATATAAGCATGTGTATTACTTTGGAATGTGTGGTACATGTGGAATGTATGTTTATTTCAATTGCAATCATTTTCAGAGTTGAGTGGTAAGTCCTTCAAGAATGTTTATGATTCTGGATTCAGGATTGGAAATTAGAAGAAAATGATAGAAGCATCCAGTTTGGAAGGTCCCTGTCCCATTTCAGTTACTTCAGTTGAGGCAAATCCCCAGCTTCAGGCATAACCTTTGCTTCCTGAGTAACAGTGTGATGTGGAACTCAGGCCGCCAAATCACACATTAATTGTTTTTTAGGTTGTGGCCAACAAAGTGGGTGGGGAGAAATAGAGAGTCAACCTCAAACTAATAAAACTCATTCGTGCGGGTCCTGTGGCTCCAGCATAAAATTTTAGTTTTGGAGATTTCACTCCTCAGCTTGTTAAATTCAGCTGCGATAGAGCAGACAGCAAGGTTGATGGTGGAAGAAGCAGGGTTGGGGTCAGAGTGAAGGTAGGCTTTCCTTGGCATTTTAATTTACTCCAGGTCTTTAACCTTCAAGCAGAACCCACAAACCACAGGAAGGGAGAGAGATCAATAAGCACCATGTGTGAGCTCGGAGCTTTTCAAGTTCTTCTACATTTTCTGAGCCTTTCTGTTTCGCCTCTCCTCAAACATGCAAACCCCATACCAAGACAGAGCAAGGCTGGCTCTCATGCTCCACTGCCTTCCAAAAGAGCCTTTATTCTTCAGCTTAATGACCTGGCTTCCAGCATTTACGTTCATGCTGGCGGCCACGCTGAAATGCACACCCCAGCCAAACAGTCCCACTGCCCAAGCTTGGGCTGCTCGTCAGCAGCTAATAACGAAGGGTTGAAACTCAGGCTGGAGCCCATTTTATACTGATGAAAACTCTTGGAAAGGCAACTGTGAAATGGGTCCCAGATTCTTCTCCCAACTGAATATTAAGGTTGTTTTTCTAATGGTATGGACGCCTGGCTCCTGTGTAGCAATATTAACACCTTTCTTATTTTACAACATCCCAGCTCATTCATTGCTCATGTTTTTCATTATGGCATAGATTTATTTTCATCCTTCTGCCTTGTAGGTTTAAAGTGAAGCAGCCCCCACCCAGCACAGGACTGAAAGTGACTTACAAACCTGGACCTGTAAGTCCTACCTGTCATCTGTTGTGTGTGCTTGCGTGTGTGCAGGTGAATGTGGGTAGGTTTCCAGCAAAGTGGGCTTTGAGATCATTCTGCCCATTCAGTTTAAACTATGTATAAGTCTAATTTTTCTAATATCATAAGCAAAAGATTTCTGGTAGTGATAAAAATATGTGGCTTGATGGCAGTCATTCCATGTAGTAACCATGAGACCGATCGTATGCAAAAACAGTTAAACTTCCAGCTATGGAAACAATTCTGAAGGTCACCTCACTTGTCACAATATTACAGTTACGTACCATTGTATAAAAACTGCCTTTTAAAAAAGTAAATCCTTATGCAAAGTGAAAAATATTTGGGAAAAATAATTATTTCATTCTTTATATTTTATGTAAATCTGGCTTGCTCTCTAGGCATTTGCCAGAGAACATTATTTAATACTAAGAAATCATACTTACTAAACTCATCAGTTGCCTCATGTCTTCAAAGATCTCTGAAAATACAAAATCAAAAATGTCAACCTGTTCTGACTTTATTTGATACATCCTCCAAAATGGCATGTTTAGTAAAAAAATACGTATATTAATAGCATATTCCACTTTAAATTATAATTCCAGAAATATAGGATGATGTAAACATAAGTTCATCTTAAAACAGAATAAAGTCACATTGATAAGTCTTGATCAGTGCATCTTCTGGCTGCTTTAATACCCCTTCCACTTCACACTTCACTCAGCAAACTCTGAGTTCCCCCCATATGCCATTTAAAGTGCCAGGGCACAGAGGATGTTAAAAATGAATAAGACACATAAGAAGTTTACAGAGCCAGGTACACAGCGGGTACTCAAGAGATGTGTGATTGAGTGACAGAAGGAAGTGACTTAGACTGGCAGATGCACGACCGTTCATCACACATGGGATAAATGCATAGGCCTATGAGAACAGTGAACAAAGGTATGAGTCCTGCTAACAAGCACCCAGTGCTCCCTGAGTTTGGAGCTCTTAAAGCAGCCCCAGTTACAGGCTCATACTGAAGGAGAAGTTTGGTATGGTGCAAAGTCAGTTGGCTTCTTGTCATGACTATGCCATCAAGCAGTTTACTTAATGTTCTGAGCCTTGTTTTCCTCATCTGTAAAGAGGAGTTCAGACCAGATTATTTCTTAGCCCCCTTCTAGTTGTAATATGCTCTATAGAAAACAGTATATTATACAGGCTGAAACTCTAAACAGAAACATTTTGAGATTATATCCACTAATTCATGAGTACTGTTCTGAAGTAATTCATCACTGTACTGTGTCAAGATTTCAGAACCTTCACAACATAAGGCAAAGACAAAAATCAAAACAAGCCCTTCTTCCACTGTTCTGGGAAGTTAACAAATCTCATTTTAATTTAAAGTAGGGATTATGCCAAAAGCCAAAATGACTGTTGGATCAACCTTTATAAGTAGTAAAAACACAGCATGTAGCTTGTGAAGCTCACTCTATACTATAAGGTTGTTTTTTTATTTATTTATTTTAAAGTTTTTGATAGTAGGTTTTGGCTCTGGCAAAAAAATATAAACTGTAGACTTCCCCATATGTAAATCTAACCACTGTTCAGGTTGGTTAGTTGCCAACACTAGATGAATGTGCTCAGAGGCTGGGCAGACCTGTATGAAGGCAGTATTCCAGCTCACCTCGTGCTGAATTTCATCATCACCCAGCCCTGCTCTGACTGCTGGACTTGGAGGAGAAGGGTCTGCCGTTGGATATCTTCCAGGATGCATACCTTGAAAAGTACCTTGTTGAGAAAACTGAAACATTTTTCAATTCTATTTATAAAACTATATTGAAGAAAACATTCCATTTATATCTAATAGCTTTTCATGTGGTAGTTTCAGATTTATTTTTTCCGGATAACTGTTCCCAAGTCTGCTTTTTAACCCATCTCCTGGAGAGGCAACTTAGAAACATAAACAGCTCTCTTTTTGCTGGCTAGTGTTCTCTTCAAGGACCAACGGGAGGCACCCATGCCTTGCTGTGTTCCTTCTTTGTTCTGTATCAGCTTTCTTCTTTGTTGGTAGGATCCTCTGCCACGGGCTTTCAAAACTAAGCAGTTTGGCATTTAAGCTAATTTTGTCTCCCTCTACTGGCTTCATTACTTTATGCATCCTGCATTAGGAACACCCTGAAGTCATGCTGGTCCAGCCCACGGACCAGGATGGCTTTGGCCTAACACAAATTTCTAAACTTTATTTATTTTATTTTATTTATTGCATTTTAGGTTTTGGGGTACATGTGAAGAACATGCAAGATTGTTGCATAGGTATACACATGGCAGTGTGACTTGTTGCCTTCCTCCCCTTCACCTATATCTGGCATTTCTCCCTATGCTACCTCTCCCCAACTCCCCACCCCCCACTCTCCCTCCCCCATGTCCCCCCAACAGACCCCAGTGTGTGATACTCCCCTCCCTGTGTCCATGTGTTCTCATTGTTCAACGCCCGCCTATGAGTGAGAACATGTGGTGTTTGATTTTCTGTTCTTGTGTCAGTTTGTTGAGAATGATGGTTTCCAGGTTCATCCATGTCCCTACAAAGGACATGAACTCATCGTTTTTGATGGCTGCATAATATTCCATGGTGTATATGTGCCACATTTTCCCTGTCCAGTCTATCATCAATGGGCATTTGGATTGGTTCCACGTCTTTGCTATTGTAAACAGTGCTGCGAGTGAACATTTGTGTGCATGTGTCCTTATAGTAGAATAATTTATAATCCTTTGGATATATACCCAGTAATGGGATTGCTGGGTCAAACGTAAACTTTCTTAAAACATGAGATTTTTCTGCAATTTTTTTAAAGCTCAACAGCTATCTTTATTGTTAATATACTTTGTGTGTGGCCCAAAACAACTCTTCTTATTCTAATATGGCCCAGGGAAGCCAAAAGATTGGACACCTCTGCAAAGGGGTAGGAAAGTTATAGAATTCACCAAGCCTGTTAATTTTTTTTTTTTTTCTTGAGAAAGAGTCTTGCTCTGTCACCAGCCTGGAGTGCAGTGGTGCAATCTCAGCTCACTGCAACCTCCGCCTCTCAGGTTCAAGCAATTCTCCCACATCAGTCTCCTGATTTATATTTATATTAGATTAAATTTATCTTTATCTGCAATAGCTCCTATTGCAGATTTCACTACTGAAAGCCACTACCGACATTCAAAAACTAGCACAATTAGGAGTATTGCAAAATTTTGCCTTCAGTTCCATTTCTAATAACCTGGCATTTAGCTTTTTCCTAAATAGTACCTGGTTTGCCCCTTCAACAATTTACCCTGGATCCCCTTTATTTAATGGAATTCTACCTTCATTATGAAGTAATTCTGCTAAATGCTTATAATAACTACCATTTATTAGTACCAAATTTATAGATGAAGAAACCAAAGGTAAGCAAGTTTAAGTAACTTGCCCAAATTAGTGTTAAAAGCAACGTTTGAACTCAGAGGTGTCTGGTCCTAAAGCTACTTTGTGTCTTGTAGGTGGCAGCTGGTTTGCAGACAGAACTGAATATAGAGTTATTTGCCATGGCTGTTGGAGAGGATGGGGCCCAGGGATCCGCACACATCTCTCACAATATCGAGATTATGACTGAGCATGAGATTCTGTTCCTCCCTGTGGAAGCAAATATCCTTTAAAGTTCAACTTGAGTAATCATATATAGTGCAGAAATTACACAAGTGAGGAAAACATGGAAGTCAAAATGTATCTCTGTTATTTCTATGTTCAAAATCATAAAGTTAAATTTATTTCTGTAAGTAACCAGCTATGTTGCGAGTAAAATAGAAAGAAAAAAATTAAGACAGACTATCTTCATTCATCTTTGAAAGCACCTAGCCAAATCTAAGAAATACCTGACATATAGTATATGTTCGGTAACTTCAGGTTGAATAAATATAAATGTTATTGGCTATTTATGGAATATCAGACAGATTGTAAAACAGGAAGTCTCTATCACAAAAATATAATCATTTTATGGAAGGATAGGAGATACCTTATTATCTTTATAGTAAGTTGGGTATTCACTGAATTATGCATACATCCTTCCACATCATTGCTCCAGCCACACAGATATTAGATACCAAGTACCTATTGCCTCCAAGGTACTGTATGAAATAGTTTATCATATATAGAAATGGATAATTGGGCTCATTCTTAAAAGATAGGATCTAGTAGCAGAAATAAAATATTCACATTTTATTCCTATTTTATACTTCTCCAGTGGCATGAACTGTGTACTGCTTGTGTTATAGTTCTGTGTTTATTTGATATTTGAGCTGGGTCTTATAGAATGTGATAACTTGATTGAAAGGAACTTTAAGTACAAAGAATGAACAAGACCATGGCAACAGGAGAGCTCCAGGTGTTTGGAATGATTGGCAGGGAGTTCAACGTGCCAGGAGCTTGAGTATTAGGAATGTAGTGGGAAAGGAGGTTGGCGTCAAGTTGTGAAAGATCTTAAATCCTTGGCTTGAATTTTATTATTTAAGCAGCAGTGAACCACTGCAGATTCCTGAGCCTATGGGTGATAGGATCAGCGTAACTTTATTAAGATGAATCTAATGTTATTGTGCAGGACATGTCGAAGAGGAACAACTGGATGTGTAAAAGAACCATTAAAAGTCTTCCTAAATGGACCATGCATAAAAACAAGAGCCATGGTGGGGTGGGGGGCGGGCAACGGTCAACGTAAAAGAGGCACATGAACAAAAGACGTGGTGCGGGAAGAAAACTGCAAAATCTGAGGTAGAAGCCATTGATGGATGCAAGAAAGAGGACAAGGAGTTCAACCATAACGTTTGGGGCTGAGGGAATGAATCACAGCTACGAAATATGAGATCTCAACGGAGAAGCCAGAACTGAAGATGTCATAATTTTAAACATCGTTTACACAGAGGTGATGACTGAAGGTAAGGGCAAGGAGCAGAAATTTTGAGTCTGTTTAGGGAGCAGGAGGAAGAGGGGCCAGTGGAGACAAAAGCAGCAATTAGAAGAACATGAAATACTTCAGAAGCCTTAGGAAGAATTTCAAGGAAAAGATAGACACAATTAACAGATGCTATTGAGATGTCAAAGAAAATTCATATTTAAAGTGTTAAATTTGGTTGGGACAAAAACTAAATTGCAAAAAGTAAAGAACAACTGTATTAAGAAAGAAGAAACAGGCCGGGCGAGGTGGCTCAAGCCCGTAATCCCAGCACTTTGGGAGGCCGAGGCGGGTGGATCACAAGGTCAAGAGATCGAGACCATCCTGGTCAACATGGTGAAACCCTGTCTCTACTAAAAATACAAAACATTAGCTGGGCATGGTGGCACGTGCCTGTAATCCCAGCGACTCAGGAGGCTGAGGCAGGAGAATTGCCTGAACCCAGGAGGCGGAGGTTGCGGTGAGCCGAGATCGCGCCATTGCACTCCAGCCTGGGTAACATGAGTGAAACTCCGTCTAAAAAAAAAAAAAAAAAAGAAAGCAGAAACATTAGTTATGGATATTCTTTCAAGAAAATTTAGAAAAGAGCAAGAGAATATGGTGCCTCAAGCATGCAACAGAATATAGGAAGGATTTTCAGTTTAGTGTATACTATGTATGATTGTAGGCTGACGAGAGTGGAACGGGAGATGTATTAAAAATATGAATGAGTAGAAGTAATTGAAACTGCAATATCCAAAATAGAGCAAAAGAGCAATAAAAAACAGAGCTGAAGGATTAGTCTTGGCAAGAAAGAAGCTGAAGATAGCTGAGGATTCAGACATTCTGAGGTGAAGGAGAAAGTTAAAAGAACTTGTGTCAGATGACACTGATGTCAGTAAATGAAGTTGAGTTCATTGGTTCATTTATGTTTTCAAAGTTGCAGAAAGCCCTGCCTTTATGTAGCTTACATTCAGTGGGAGGACCGACAATACACAAAGCAAGTGAACCATAAATAATGGTGGCAGGAAGTACAATGGAGCAAAATATAAAGGAGGAAAGGAAAGTCCTCAGTGGGAAAGTCTCTCCCTCTCTCTCACCTTCCCTCCCTCCCTCCCTCCTTCCTTTCCTGTTTTTGAGTAATGATGACAGGGTTTCTTCATTGTGACAGAAGGAAAGTAGCCAAAGAACTAGTTTTTTCCTCTGGGAATTAAATCAAGTGCCCTTGCCCTCCCCACACAGGTTATTAGATGTGGACACCTGAATCACTGCTGCTGATCATGGGAATGAAATCATTTGCATTTATAATAAATTTTCTCTTTCCCTGCTTATAGGTTAGAGAGAATCTGTCAAACACAGATAGATAAAGGGCAAAAAGAATCTTGCCAGATCTTTTATTTACTTACTTCCAATGTCAACAATGATAGTTCATAGCCCATTTCCTAAGATCTGTCCCTCTTCCCAACAAAAAAGCATAAAATCTATCATAGATATGGTTCAGGGATTGACCATGCTGATGGCTCCTTATAGAAAGCCAGTGACAGTTAGGAAAGAAATGTACACTAGGGAGAACAGAAGACATTCTAGACATTGACATATCCATCTTCTAACACCTAAGCCTGAGAATGTAGAATTTGCATTGGATACACGTGTTGAGAAATGCTGAATGTATGATAAAATTATATTGTTTGTTAAGGAGAATGATGGCAAAGAAAACCTAGCTCCCCCTCCCCCAAGTGGAAACTACTTGGGGCATTTTAAAGTAGCAAGACAGTATACGTATATCATACACCAGTTAAAACAATTCTTCAAGCATGGGATATGTGACCCTGCCCCCGTGGCTCCCTCATGGAGAATACTTCTAGTTTGTCTTTGATCTGTGGTAAGCAGGCACCATGTGCCTGCCTAGTTTATTTTTGCTCTATGAGAAAACACCGAACACTTGTTTGTTAATAATAATCACCTGTTCAGAGAGACTACGTGGGTCCAAGTCTGCTCCAGGCCCTCAGTTCAGAATGCCGTGGGTCCCCTGAAGCTCTCAGCTTGGAAAGCTGTTGGCCCCCAGATAGTCCCACTTTGCTGTTCTATCTGGGTGTCTGCTCCTTAATGACTCAGCACCACCGGGGTGGGGGTCTCAACAGTCAAGCTGAACTCAGTATAGACGAGTACCTAAAATTGAACTAGCGTTGCTAGATAAGAAATTCTATGAATCTCAAACATTATTTGGGTTTACATATGCAAATCATTTAGTTATGAAAAGCATAGCCCTTAACAAATATTTTACCAGTTTTAACAAGCAGCAATTATGATAAAAGACCAAAAGACTTTCCCCAGGGAAAAGAAAATCCCATGGTCCAGAGAACTTCTACAATTTCTTCCTCTGCACTTGGAGTCTTCATGTCTCGTGAAGTTTCTCCACATTAGGAACAGTAAGTAAGAAATGGGAATTTCATTGTCAAACATTTAAGTTTGAGGTATTAGACCCCAGGTTTCTTCCCGTCTTCTTATAGTCAGAAACCCATAAGCCACCTAGCCTGAATCAATGAAAATATCTGTTTCAGTAACTATACTAGTTACTCCTTTATATATATTTTAAAATCTAACCCTCATGCTATCTAGAAGGTAGTTTTTCTGACTTTATAAATAAGAAAACAGAGGCTCAGATATTTCTTAAATGGAAGAAGTAAAAATCTAAAGTACTTCAATGTGATTCTAAAGTCCATTCTTTAAGCACTGACTTCATTGTGCAGATAAAGTTGATCTTACCCTCTAAAATGCAGCAGCACAAACACAAACAGCAAGGTGCCCTTAGAACTTGAGCATTTACAATTAAACCAGTGTTTTTTGAACTATTTAGACTCAAAACTCCTTTCATAGTCTTAAAAATTATTGAGGATCCCAAAGAGCTTTTGTTTATGTGGGTGATGTCAATATTTACCAAATAAGAAGTAAAACTGGGAAAATTTTAAAATTTATTTAAAAATAATAAACCCAGTTTACTAACATAAAAAACATTTTTAAATGTTATTTTGAAATGAAATGAAAAATAACTATTTTTGATAAAAATGTAATAAGGGTAGCATTGTTTTATATTTTTGCAAATCTCTTTAATGTCTGAGTTAATAGAACACAGCTGGATTCTCACATCTGCTCTGTATTCAAACCGTTATCATTCGCACGTCATGTACCCTCTGGAAAACTCCACCCTATGCCTACGTGAGAATAAGAGAAAAATGCAAATAACATCTTGTATTAGTTTCCTTGGACTGCCCTAACAAAGTACCACAAATCAGGTAGCTTAAAGCAACAGATATTTATTCTCTCACAGTTCAGAGGGAGAGAGGTCCAAAATCAGGGTGTTAGCAGAGCTGGTTCCTTCTGGAGGAATAGTCTGCTCTATGCACATCTCCCAACTTCTGGTGGTTGCCGGTATTCCTTGGCATTCCTTGGCTTGTAGTGGCATCACTCCAGCATCTACCTCTGTCTTCACATGGCATTCTTCCCTGTGTATTTATCTGTGTGCCTCTCTCATTGGATTTAGGGGCTACTCTAATCCTGAATGACCTCATCTTGATTACTCTTGTAAAGACTATTTACAAATAGGTTCTACTAGACATGAATTTCCACCCGACATGGCCAAACCCAGTACAGCCTGCCCTCTGGTGCCTCAAAATTCATGTTCATCCCAGGTGCAAAATACAGTCCTCCATCCCAATATTCCCAAAATACTTAATCCATTCCTGCATTAACTAAAGTCTTATCTAAAGGTCACCAACTCCAAAAGTCTCAAAGCTCATCATCTAAATCAGGTGTGGGTGAGACTCTGAGGCTGAACTGCCCTGGCCTGCTTTCCTTCTACAGACCTATGAAACTGAAAAACAAATTACCAGCTTCTAAAATACAATGGTGGGACCACCACAGGATACAAATTCCCATGCCAAAAGGGAGAAAATGGAAGAATAAAGAAGTCACTGTCTTATAGCAACTTTGTAACCCAGCAGAGCAATCCCATTAGATTTCAAGGACAGAATCTGTGGCTCCATCTGCCCTGTATACACATGGAGACTCCACCAATCCCAGCCTCTAAGCCCTCAAAGACTCCCATCGGCCCCACCCTCCGAGCCCTCAGCCTGGGCCCTCTTGCAACAGTCCTACCGTCTGGTCAGCCCGTTTCCTGCTTTCAGAATTCCAGAAATCTGACAGCCTTTCTTCATTTTGTACTGTCACTCTCTCCTTCAGTCCAAGCTGGCAGTGTCTCTGCTGATGATGTAACATTCTCACCCTCCCTAATCTAACCTCATCTTAACTACATTTATAAAGACTCTATTTCCAGATAAGGTCCATTCACAGAATCCAGGTGGACATGAATTTTGGGAGAGCAGTAATCAACTTAGTATGTATCTTAATATTATAGTTTTGGACTACGCCTTGGGAACCACTAAATTAGGACATAGTTTATTTCAGTTCTCATTAGTGACATTCAGAAGTTACCCCAAAATGAGAAGTGGTACAGTCTGCATCTCTAGCTGGACAATTCTGAAAACTATGGAATAGCTCTCAAAGATTCATAATTCCTGTTGGCACCAATCTATCAAAAGTAATTCATGAATCTACCTAATAGTTGAAATGTCTTAAATAATATCTTTATGCCTCTTTGTGCATATTATTGCAGAGTTGATAAGATTAAAAAGATGCAGTAAGAGTTGTAACTTTAAACACTTCACAATAACTCTGTGTGGGTAGGTGCTATTCTACCCATTTTATAAATGAGGAAAAGGTTAGGTAATTTGCTCTATAGAAGCTGTATCAGTTGTGTGTTGCTAAGCCCCCAAAACAGTGGCTTAAAACAATAAATATTTATGATCTCATAGCTTGTGTGAGTCAGGAATCGGGTACAGCTCAGTGGGGTCCTCTGGTTCAACTGGGAGTTGAATCTGCTTTCAAGCTCACTCAGGCAGCCATCGGCAGGATTCAGTTTCTTGCATGCTGTTAAACTGAGGGCCATAGCTCCTCACTGGCTCTTGTCTGGCGACTGCCACTCAGTTGCTTGCCACGTAGGCCACTCTTTAGGGAATCTCACAACATGGCAGCTTGGTTCATCAGAACAAGCAAGCCAGCAAGCATGAAGAGCCAGAATGTGAGCTAGGTAGAATTCAGAGCTTTATAACCTAGTCTTGGAAGACACAACCCATTACATTTGCTGTATTCCATTCACTAGAAGCCTGTCACCGGGTCCAACCCCATATTCAAGGGGAAGGGATACACGAGGGCAACTACTACCAGGGTTGGGCACAGTGACTGTTACACACGTACTGTGTTCTAAAAACATACTAAGGCTGCTTGGATCCCAAAAACCTCAGAAATAAAGTGAAAAGACTTGAATACATGGGGATATTACCTTTAAGAACCTTAGCCCCATCTCAAACTTGGGATCCTAAATTGTGAGGAAAGTGGGTAGATTGCAGATGGTACCTGTAAACCCATGTGGTTTCTTCCTAAGCTCCTGCTCACAATCTCCCTCTCTTCTGAAGGCTAATCTGGCCTGAAAAGGCTGTGTTGAGCAGGCTCATTTATAGCTGATAGGTGAATAGGGTCCCATATGCAGTCCCGAACCTACCAGCAGATACCATTGCTTTCCTGGGCACTGTCCTAGATTCTCTGCTAGAGGTTTGCTAGATTTCTTTAGAATGAGATATGATTTAAGACACTTGCCGTTGAGAAACAATTTAATACCAAATATACAAAGCACCTAGCTTCCAGCCAGAGAATTTCAAAATTGTTAAGCATATTTTCTCTAAGTGGATGGATATATTGTTGACCTTAAACTTTTAGGGTTAAAGAGTTTCAGGTATTTTGACCAAAAGTTTTAACTTAGCTAGGTTCTGTACATGTCACTTTATCATAAAAGTTCTCCTTCTCTTTGGTTCGTATAATACTTATCAGACAAAAACATCTTTATATTCCCTACCACTGTCAGGCTTTTCAATTATAAATGGTGGCAAAGCTATGGGAAAACAGCAACTTCTAACATAACAGTAATTGTTAGTAATGTAAACATCTAGAATGCCCTCCTGGAACTTGTTTTGGTTTGGAAACCATAAAAAATGTTACTAGAAAATGACATTTATGTTCTGATGAACAACTCTAAGGATATTGATTCAACCTGTTCTCATCAAAAATAATTATTTTTCAAGAATTAACTCCTCTTCCTGGTGGCAGGAATAGCTGCCTAAACATTGACTCCTTGGAAAGCACCTAGAATGCATTATCCTGCCTGGCTATTCTCTTGCCTTTCATAGTTGTGCCTTCAGAAACTCTGTGCCAAAATTTAATTATTTATTCTGCCCAACAAATAACACCACTGCATTCCTTACCTCATTTCAGTGATTGTGTTATGCTCAAGAACATTAAGACTTGTGGTTCGGAACACAAATCGCCAAGCCAGAACTGCAGCTCTGAGCCTGGGAAGAAAATGGTGGCCCCACAACACAGTAACTTGGTTGAAATGATCAAATTCACAGATAGATAGAAACCATAGTTTTAAGGCTTTGGGATTAACAACAACAACAAAAAAACCAAAACTGTCTCAGGAAGATACAGAAAGTCTAAACAGGCCTATAACAAGGAGTGTGATGTAGTAATTCATAAACTTCCCCCAAAGCCCAGACCCAGAGGTATCTGTCAATATCTTTTCCTAGAACACTCCTACTTCCTCAAATCCCTACCATGAAGATATACAGTAGACAAACCCTTGAACATGGGTTTGAACCACGTGGCTCCACTTATATACAGATTTCTTTCAATAAATATATTGAAAAAATTTTTAGAGATTTGAAACAATAAGAAAAGTAGCAGATAAAAAAATAGTTTGAAAAAATACTTGTTTATTGAATATAAAAAAATTATCACAAATGCATAAAATATATGTAGATACTAGACTATTTTATCGTTCACTGTTATAAAATACATGCAAATCTATTATTTTATCAAACTTAACACACACAAATACAGATAATACATGGTGCAATTCAGTTGAGAGAGATGTAAAAAAAGGAGGAAGTATTAAATCATAACTGCATAAAATTAACTGTAATACACAGTATATTACTGAAGTAATTTCACAGCCACCTGCTGTTGCTATTGCAGTGAGCTCAAGTGTTGTGAGTATGCACTTATAACGCTGTGTTTTAAGTGCATGAACAATTCATCTCCCCAGTAAACTGCGTATCACAGTGCTCCCGAAGAGCAGAGAGGAGTCATGACATTACAAGAAAAATCAATTGCTTGATAGGTACCACAGACTGAAGTCTGCGCTGTGGTTGCCTGTCACTCCAGACAGACGATTCATTTTATAAACAGATGATATACACTTACAGTATTGATAAAAACGGCAAATGTATTTTCTGTTCCTCATGATTTTGTAAGTAAC